AGCCGCGGTCCCCGGCGGCGCCCGGGGCCCCCACCCGGTTAGCCAGGGGCGCCCAGCCAGCCCCCACAGAACAGCAGGCCCCACATGGCACCAGGTCCCCACAAACCACCAAATGACAGCCTTCCCCCCCCCCGCCCCAGTGCGACGCCTTCCCCCTGTGTGGGCGAATGCTGGGCAAGCAGCGAGGGCTGGAGCCCCTGCCGCACCGCCCCTGGGCTGGGCGACAAAGCCCGTTCCCTTCTGCTCCACTGACCCTTGCTGTCCCAGCTCTTCGCTCTGTGGTCAGGGTGAGGAATTAATAAAATTAACTGGGATGGTTAATAAAACGCTGTGCACAGGACAATGCAACCCCAGAGCTGCCTGGGAGCAGCTGAGAAGGGGCACTGCTGGGTTGAAGGCAACGCTCCCCTGGGAGCGCCAGCTCAGCCTCAGAGGGCAGCGGGACTGGGGTGCAAAGGACCCGATCCCCACCGCGCCACAGCAGCCGCTTGCTGCCTGCTCAGCACTGCCCAGATGCCAACACAGCTGCTAAAGCCAGACTGATTTTATTCAAATTGCAAATGTAAAACAGAATAATAATAATAAAAAAAAAAACCACCAACCCAAACCTCGCTGGCTTCAGAGCAGAAAACCTCAGGTAAACCGCACGCGGGCTTTCCTTCTCCTTCTTCGCTCTCCCATGTTAAGGCTGCGTTCATCACTGGTCATAGGAGGGAGGGACGGGGCGAGTCCCGGCTCCCACGACCCCCCGGCTCCTTCATGGGAATTTTGGCACAAATCCAGCGGGGCTGAGCCCGGCACGGGACAGGGCGGGGCTCTGGCCCCACGGCCATGGGTGTTAGTGGGTCAGCGTGAAGCTCTGACAGCTACAGGATTACCTACAGGGCTGCAGCAAGGTAAGGGCAGATGGGGGGAATGTGGCAGAAGAAGGGGTTTGCACCCCTGGCCGAGGGGCCAAGTCTGCGGCCTAGGGCTGCACCTCCCTGCCCTGGCTTGCGCACGCATCTCGACTGTAAACAGCAAGTGATGGGGGCACCCAGCTTGCCCCAATCATGGCCCCGCAGCAAGGAGAACTAAAGGCCTGGCTGTATGCACAATTTTGGGCAGCGCCTCCTCAGCAGCCCGGGGCTGAGCCGGGACCCAGGGGCTGGGATGATGCACCCTGGGGCATCTCGGTGCTGGCAGGAAGGAGGGAGGAGGGAGCCTGGGTCCACACTGGCGGGCCACTGACCTCCCGTCCTGGGGGGTGCAGGGCTGGTGGGCCCCCCCAGAGCCACTGTGAGACTCAGTGCATTGCTCCCAGCTGGCGGTGTCAGCCCCAAGGGCCTCTGCCAGCTACAATGCCTGGTGCACAGCTTGGCCATTGCACCCACATGGCTCCGGGGGGCTCTCAGCACCCCAAAAAGTGCTGGCCCCTGGGCAGCCGGCAGCTCCTGCCTGCCGGAGGCCCCGGGGGTGCCGGGCCACCATCCCGGGGGACACCTCACCCCGGATAACCTTGCAGGTGATGCAGGACCAGGGGGAAGTGTCATCGGGGGATTGGGGCGAGCATAACTGGGATGCTGGGGGTCTGGATGCTGGGGGTCTGGATGCTGGGATGCTGCTCCCTCCCTGCTCCTTTCAGCACACAACTGATAATTTAACCTGCTCCAGAGCCTGTTCCTAAGCATAAAGGTGGCCGGGTTTGGGGGGAGGGCATGCGCGTGGGGCAGACTTGGCCCTGGGCAGTGCCAACGGGCAGCTGTGGGCTTGGTCATGGCTCTCCAGCTGCAGCCCCGTGGGGTGAGGGAGGCGGGGGCCGCCCCGGCCTGCCCCCTCAGTCCGTTTTCCACACCTTGTTGAGGAACTTGACCACCTCATCGTAGATGACGAAGACGATGGCGACGTCGAGGCAAACGCGGCCCAGGCGAGGCACTGTGCCCTTGTAAAACCTGCCAGGGATAGAGGGGGTCATGGGGCCAGGCTGCACTCGCATCCCTCTCCCCATCCATCCTCCCCCTCCCCGGCCACCCCCGTGCCTCCCACTGGGGCTGACCCCACTGCCGCCCCTTGCCCACCCCCACCGCAGGGCTTACGCCAGGGGCCCTTCGTATTTCATGATCTGGTAGGCGCAGTCCCAGGTACTCTTGTACTTGTGTGCTTCCAGCCCCTGCAGGATGGGAAAAGCAGGGTCAGAGGCCGGAGCCAGGGGTGCATCCAGGGGGGATTTCAGGGCAGGGGGAGGCAGAGAGCTGGGGGCGCACCAGGAGGAACCGATCCCTCTTTGCTGCTGTGGGCCACCGAACCCGGCAGGGACATCCCCACCTCTGCAAACACTTCCCAGCACCCCCACGGCCCAGCTGTGAGGGGGCAGCATCCCCAGGCATCTCCCAAACCTTGCCAGCACCAGGCGCCTGCTACGGGGGCTGCAGAAAACAGCTCCCAAACAGTGGGTGACCCCAGCCTGCTGCAGGCAGAGTGGTCCCACACCATGCCCTGGAGCCGTACCTGCATCCTGGTCTTCACCACATCCAAGGGGGTGTTGCCAAAGACACTTGCAGCTCCGGCAAGGGCTCCAAACACTCCCGTGATGAAGGGGTTGATGACCTTGTTGGGATTGTCCCCTGGGAAGGAGGAGAGGTTGAGGGCAGAATGGTGGTGGAGGATGAAGCATGACATCCTCAAGGAAGCCTGTAGGGAAGGTCCCAGGTCTGGCTGCTCGTGGTCAAGGCTGGTGCCGTGCTGAGTGGGGGGCCCAGGGCATTTGGAGGGGACTGTCCAGCAGCACCAGCCCCACAGAGCCCATGCAGCACTGGGGAGCTAAGGGTGGAAGTGGAAGTGATGCTCTAGCGGTGGGACACTTCAGTCCCACAGTCTGGCGCCCCCTTGCCCTGCTTTTCACCTTCCTCCACCATGAGAGGCTGAGCCACAAGAAGCGGAGGATGCGCTGGTGGAAAGCCCAAGCCTGGCTCCCAAGGATGGGCTGAGGGAGCCAGCAGCACAGCCAGGGTGCCCTGGGGGGATGGGGGCACCGTACCTTTGTACCAGTTCTTGAGAGAGGTCATGACAAAGAAGCGGATGGCCTGGTTCGATCCTTGTTTGAGGACGGTCGCAGTTAAGCCCTGGTAGGTCCCCTTTAGTCCTGCAGCAAGAGAGGGCGTTGGAGAGGAGCACCAGCCTCACCCAGGCAGAGAAAAACCTCCCCAGGCAGCCGGTCCCAGCCCGCACCTGTCCCCCACCTCCCGCCCCATCTCCCCAGCGTGGGGGTACTCGAGGGAGACCGGACATCACTTCCCCGAGACTCACCCTGTTCCCGAACAATCTCCCGGACGCCATGGAAGAAGCCACGGTATTTGGGCTTGGGGGAGCACTGGTCATGGATAAACTTCACCTGTGGGGAGACAATGTGCTCGCCCAGGCCGAGGCGAGGGGGGATGCGATGGCCCCGAAGGGCTGCCGGCCACCTCTTGCCTTGCTCTGGGGACAGTCCCGAGACCAAAGCTGACCCACGTGGCCAGGCAATGCCGGGTGAGGTCACGGGGGAAGCCTGCACCCATCACCAGTGGTGTTTTGCAGAGAAAAACCCAGGAAACTGCCTCTGTAAGTGACTGCACAGATTTTACAGCCCGAAAATGGGTGACAGGATAGCTCCTGGGTGGGGGGCTCCTCCCCGGAGTGGGGAAGGGGCCACGGCTGCAGGGCCTGACCTCTCCATGGGGCTTTCCAGCATCTGCTCCTCCCCTGCAAAACCAGTCTGAGCAAACATACGCAGCCCTCAGCTCCCCAGAGACCTGCCCCCCAAAAGCTGGGCATCCCCGGCCCCTGCCCCCTCCTGACCTGGCCTGGGGAGGGGTGCCAGGGCAGGGGGACGCTGGCAGCTGCCTCCCACCTTTATGGTCTCCATGGGGCAGACCACCACCACAGCCTCGGCCACGCCGGCGCCCAGCCCACAGATGAGGCCCCGCGTGCTGTCCAGCCGCCCTTGCTCATCTCTCATCTGGTTGCTGAGGAACTCGAACATCCCGAACCTGTGGAGGAGCCGCCATGATAACCCCTGGGTGCCTGGCTGGGGGGCTACACCCCCCTGTCTGAGTCTGTCCCTGGCAGCAACCATACACCCTGTGAGAGGGCCCTCCCAGTCTGGGAAAGCACCCGGTTTCAGCAAAGTGCCACTGGGGATGTCAAGGCCAAACTCACCCCCCTGTTTGCTGCCACTCGGGGTCCCCTCCGCTCACCCCGTGCCATAGGGGACGCCTACCTGACAGCAGCCTTGGGGATGGAGCCATACACCAGCGAGCTGAGCCCCCGGTACAGCCCCCGGATGCCATGGTCACGGACGGTCTGCTTCACGCAGTCCCCTGCGGCAGAGCACAGCAGCACTGCTGTCACCCGCCATGCCGGGGGCCACTGCGCTGCCTCCACCGCCTGCCCCACCAAACCCCGCTCCCCCCTCAGCTCCAGCCAGGCTCCTGGGAGCCTCCGAGTCCAGCCGGTGGGTTGGGGCAGGGCACCAGGCACACACTCACCAATGCCCTTGTAGCGGGGAGGGTTTGCCTTCTCGTCCAGCTGCAGCTGTGTCTTCACATACTCAGTGGGGAATGTGATGCAGATCTCAATCCCTCCGGCCAGGCCACCTGGGAAGGTGAGGAGGGGATGCTGGGGCCGGGAGCAGCACCGTGCCTGTCCAGTGCCATGTGGCTGCTGCCGGCTCCACGATGGCTGAGCCCGAGACCTCTGGCAGCCAGGTCTGGGCTGGGACGTGGTGTCCCTGTCCTCGCCAAACCCCTGGGGACTTCACACGGCAGCAGGGCCCCACGCCAACCTGGCACCCTGCACAGGCATCACCACCTGACCATGGCAAGAGCTGGCAAGGGGACTGGCCAAAGGGGTGGGAAAACCAGGCAAAACACCACACCCATGGCTGCTGATTCAGTGTCATTTCCCCCTCAAAGGCACTTCTCCCCTCCCAGAGCCCTGCACCCACAGCCGAGCTGCCAGCACGGGGATTTATAAACCCGACAGAGCCCCATGGCACTGCACGAGGCCCAGCACTGCTCGCCCAGTGCCGGCAGGAGCCCATTTGCAAATCCGGCCGTGCCAGCGTGGAAGCGCAATTATCATCAAGCCTGTCTGGCCGCTCCGGGCTCACGCAGCGGCAGCTGCTGGGCGCTGATTACACTGGCTGAAGCCTTTCCTGCTGCGGCCTGGGGACACGCCAACACCCCGGCAGCAAGTGATGCCGGCACTCGGGTGGTTGGGCTCCCCTTGGCTTGCTTGTAGTACCTGCAGCCAGTCCCACCACAAGCTGCCTCGGAGCAGCAGAGCCGAGTCCAGCTGGGCTGGAGCTCCTCAGGAGCTGGGCTCACCCCTGGCTGGCCAGCTAACAACCGCGCAGCTCGCTTCCTTGCGTCAAAGTGCAGCCAGGTCCTGCCGAGCAGCTGGAGCTCTTTGTGCCGGTGCAAGGAGGAAGCGCGGGGCCGAGCTGGGCTGCCTCGCAGGGGCAAACCCCGCTGCAGCCCAGGCCAGGGCACAAGTCTGGACTGGGTGCTGCACCATGCAATGCTGGGGAGCCCCAGGATGCTGCCACTGGGGCTGGGCACCCACCAGAGCAGCCCCCGAGGGCCTCCTGGCTCCTTGCCCGGGGAGGGTGACTCAAGGCCAAGCCCACAGGACACGGCCCAGCGTGGGGTCAGGTTGGCTGCCAGCTCCCAGCCGGGGACAAGTCTCCCATTCTGCCTCCGCCGGCCCCTCCAGCCCAGCCACATTCTCAGCGTGACTCAGCAGCGCTGCAGCTCCCGCCGCAGCCACCCCTGGCACACAGCCTCGCTGGCATGGCCCCGCCACGGCCCCGGGGACACCCAGGGGGAATGCGCTGCCATCGCAAGAAGGGCCAGCGCAGGGGCTGGGTGCAGTGGTGGGTTATCCTGCTCTGCGGCCAAGCACAGGCCCTGTGCCACGCAGCAGAGCACAGCTCTGCTTATCAGCACCCTCCAAAGTACCCTGAGAGGGGACACCACGGCCCATGGGACAGGGAGCCGGGCCACGGCTGCTCCCCATGACAGCAGCAGGCAGCCCCAGCTCCTTGGACCAGAAAAGTTTCTCATATAATCTTATTTCTTCTGTATGGCCTCCAAATTTACAAGAGAGACCCTTAATCTCTCTGGTGCTGCTCCAGCTCCCTCCCGCAGAGTGCCACCAGCAAAGCCGCTCACCCAGCATGGGGACGTCCTGGCGGACAGGCTGGCATCCCCTGGGGCACCACTGCCTTCTCTCAGCTGTGTCCTTCTGGAGGAAAAGGAAAGCAGCCTTGCTGCACTCCCTCCAGCAGCTGGGCAGCACCCACCTTAAAACAGTCTTATCCTGTTTTTTTTTCCCCCAGGCACAAGAAGCAGCAGGCTGCACTCGTCCTCCCCGAGGTAGCCAAGAAGCCATGCCAGGGCTCAGCCCAGCCCGGGATGACAGGAAAGCCCAGCTCTGAGCTCCAAGAGTATCCCCCTCCTCCCACGTGCATGGCAGGGATGGGGACATGGTGGCACTGAGTGCTGGTCCCCCATCCCCAGGACAGGACCTGCCAGCCCAGCCTGGCAGCATCCCGGCCTCGCAGGGTGCTGGGGATGGGGCGCGAGGCCAGCCCAGCTCTGCCACAGCACACAAAGGCTCCTTGTTTCCCGCTGCGTTCCCAGGAGGGGCTGGAGCTGCTCAGCCCGGCCAGGCAGGCACCTCCAGGGAGGCAGCGATGGGCGACCACCACCGGCCTTTACGCCTCCGTGGCACCCTGCGCTTCAGCAGCGTGGGAGGAAGCTGCTGGCAGCTGCAGCGAGGCCAGCTCACACCGCTGTGGCCAGCTGCTGGCTCTCACCCAGGGCACCACGGGAGGACAGCCACCATCCCTAAGGTCCCCAGAGCTCTCCTGCTGCCCCTCAACCCTCCCCCATCCTTGGCACGTCCGTCAGATGTGGCAGACACCGCCAGTCCCATGGCACAGGGCTTGCCAAGCACTGTAATTTCTGCTGCAAAGCCAAAGAGCTCCTGTGGTGGCAGCTGGCAGGTCCCCAGTGAGCAGTGAGATGGGGAGCAGTGTCCTTCAGCTGGGTGGTCCCCGAAAAGCCCAAGACCAGCTGGCACCTCTCTGCGCCGCTACACACCACTGTGCCACCAGCCCCGCTGCCACTGCAGCCACACGAACACCCCAGGTGCTGCCAAGGCCACTTCCCTCCTGCCTCCTGTGCTGCAGTCCTGGACATTTTAAGAGCCATGAATGTTCCCACTCAGTTCCCCAGCACCAGCTGCTGCCCCAGCACCCTCCAGAGCTGGGCAGAAGGGAAACACCCAGGACAAGCACCAGTCCAGGGACAGCCACACCAAACGGCACGGGGAGGGATGCCGCACCTCCTGCAACCTGCCCACGGCCTTGGCAGCCTCCAGGATTAAGGATGCTTGTCCATGTGGGGGAGGCAGGGAGGCTTTGCCTGCCATCCTGCTGGCAAAGCCACATCCATAGGCATGCTAGAGCCTGTAAAGTGCCCCGGCAAAGGGACAGCATGCCCCTCCTGGGAACCGGCAGCCTCTGTGGCATTAGGGCCACCCAAGCCGAGGAAGGAGGAACAGGGTGGCTGCGCTGGTTCCCCGTGGCAAACCAGGGAGCTGGATGCAAAAGGTGTCCCCATCCCAGAGCCACTGCGAGAGCGTCTGTCTCCCTGGCACACAGCAGCACACACATCGCCCTGGCTACAGCAGGGGACACCCCAGGGCTTGCACAGAGTGGCAGGGGCATGGCTGGACACCGGTGCCCTGATCGCCTCTGTCACCGCTCACCGGGAACAGATGAGGGGAGGGGAGCTGGCCCGAAGGCTGCCCTGCCACTGCACAGCTCTGAGACTCCTCGGGTGGCTGCACACACACGAATTGCAGGGCAGGGGAACAGGTCTGTTCAGGGAAATGCACCCAGAGGAGGATCTTCTCCCTCACCCTGCTTGGGGCCATGTGCTGCCTGCACTGCTAGGTCCCCTTCTTGTCCCCCAATGTTGCTCTGGCCCCAAATGGCATGGGAAGGGGCACCCAGCAGGGACTCCAGATGCACTCTGTGACCTGGGGCAATTTTTTCCTGTTTTCCTCTGCCTGCAGAGAGACAGGGTGGCATAAACCATCCGCCTGCAGCCCCCTCCCTCCCTGGAAGTGAGACCCATCAGAGGTCTAGCTCTGCTGTCGAGCATCCTTTCCCCATGCTGTTTTATTCCAGCAGAAATCTTATTCTATGCAAATAAATCACCCCATTGCCCATGAGCAGCAACTCCTTCCAACCCCCTCTCCCCCACCAGAGCTTTGCAACCTGTTTACCCGGACTTTAACCAGCAGCTTCAGCTCTTGCAACACG